GCCGCCCCACTTCCTGCACACCCTGCGGCGCCTGGGGCTGCCCGGGCACCAGGAGCCCTAGAACCCATGGTGGGACCCCCACCCCAGCCCACTCCCCCTCTGCTACTCCATTAAATACCCGACCGCTGCCAGGGTGGCTCAGTGCCTGTTTCTGTTCCTGGCACACATGGGATGCATCCCCCCAGCATTGCTGGGGCTGCCAGCCCCCTGTCCCAGGCAGAGCTGGTGATGGCAGCTGTGCCACCACCCCTGTGCCTGACCTGGCTCCCAGGGCAGGGGCACGGTGGTGTCACTGCTGCCAGGACGACTGCAGGCAGGCAGGAGCAGAGGTGGCTTTTCCCCTGCCCAGCTGCCGTGACAGCCCCAGTTCCTGCCCACAGCCCCGTTCCAGGTTCAGCCCCGGCCGTGCCCACACCGTCCCGCACACAGAGGGACAGAGCCAGGCTCCTTGTCACAGCCATGTTTGGCAGCCCCTGGAAGGGGTGGGCTGGGTGCCCCCACCAGCAATGGGGTCTGTCTGGGGTGGGGGGAGCTGGGTGCCACTGCGTCGCTCCAGCTGGGATGGGCAGGGCGCTGCTGCTGAGCCGGTCCCCTCCTGGGTGTCCTTCAATGTCGCAGTTCTTCTGTGTCCCCCTGGGACCCACCCTGTGCCTCCTCCCTGCAATGGGGCTTGGCTGCCCTGGGTAGGGCCAGGGGGTTCAAGCGCTGGGTGCCAGCCCAGGTGGGCGCAGCACCTCGGCAGGAGGGGGGGGGGGGGGGGGCCCGGGCAGGTGGGGTCGTTCCTGCGGTCAATGACCACACGCAGTGTGTCCCGCTGGACGCTGGCACACAGCCGGCTGGTCACTGCCGAGGAGGGGGCCATGGTGGGGCTGGCGTTGATCTCCAGCAGCCAGGGCTGGCAATCCTCCCCAAAGACAAAGTCAGCCCCATAGAGCTCAAAGCTGCCCTTGCGGGACCCCACCAGGTCCTGGGCGCTGCGCAGGGCACCCACCACTGCTGTCTTCATGCCGGGCACCATCACCTGGTGCCAGGCACCTGCCCGCCCCACCTGTGCCAGGTACACCTGGAGCTGCCGGCAGGACCAGATCTGGTCGGGGGGCAGCTGGGGGTGCCGGCCCCGCGCTGGCCTGCACTGCTTCTGGATGGAGACATTGCAGAGGTGCCGGGCACTGGGGCAGGGAGAGCGGGGCTGGGTCAGTGGGGTGCCAGTGGGTGCTGGGGTACCGGGGTCCAGTGCAGGGGTCACTCACGGGTCCAGGTGGTGCAGGGAGAAGGGCTGGGAGCAGAACCGCAGGTAGCTCTCGCGGTAAAACCAGACGGTTAGTGGGTTCCAGCTGGTCACCAGGAACCATTGCCGGACATCAAATTTGGTGCCAAAGATGAGCAGTGGCCGCTCCACGTACTTCTGCACCACCCACTCACCAGCCCGCGATGAGGGGGCTGCGCAGCCCCCCGCCAGCCGCCGCACCCCCCCCCGCTGCGCCAC